CAGGAGAGGTCTGCCACGCCATGTGGTCACCTCCGGGGCAGGCGGGAATCGAACTCATGCGGAAGCGGCTTTAGATTCTCAGCGCTGTGCTTCAACCCGCTGCGCCACCAGGGAGGGCCAAGGCATATATATTTTAAAAGCACAAATTCATTACTAATACCTGCCACTTCAACCCAGGTACTCAAGGTTAGCTTCAGGTTTCTCACTTTTCACATTTGTAAATACCCTTCTCCAACAGCAAATTACTCCTCCCCTTCCCACACCCCCGATAAATGTACTAATTGGTGCAATTGTATAACACAAATTAAGTAACCAGAGTTGCTAACCCAGAAGACTGTGAGAAACAAATCTACCAACTAAAAATCAATGCTTGCTTCCTTTCTTTTGCCCTTACTGCCCCTTCCCACATTGTTCAAGTTGCCACTCTGTTTCCTTTCAGGTTTATCCTCTCTGTTTCTTTTTGCACAAACTCAGCAGAAAGGTAGCATACTTTGCATTTTTTCACTTGATAGTATCTCTCTCTCTCTGTTTCATAGCACCCAGTTTTGTAGATGTTCTCATGTAACCACTCTCCAATGTTTGCCCATGTAGGTTGTTTCTGATATTTTGCAACAATATTGCCAAAAAGAATGCCCTTCTGTATACTTGTATTTCTTAGGTTTTTTTGTTTTTTTTTTTAATTTTTGTGTTAAAGAACTGGAGTATAGACAGTGAGAGGATTCACTAGAGACAGAGTGGGGAGCAGAACAGGCAGATTGATGAAGTAGACTGCTGAGGGGAGCAGTGGCGAGACAGGAGAGGTCTGCTGCCCCATGTAGGTCAGCTCCCTGGCAGGGGATTGAACTCTGGCTGCAGTGCCCTCTGATAGCTCATAGTGCTGAGACTTAACCCCTGTACCACCAAGGAGGCCCTGATAGCTCTATTTTAATAGGAGTGTTTTTGGCCCTCCCTGGTGGCACAACAGGTTAAAGTGCAGCACTACGAAGCTAGCCCAACCACTAGCCCATCCGCCTCAGTATGAGTTCAATCCCCAGCCAGGGAGGTGACCCAAATGGCGCAGCAGACCTATCCAGTCTCACCCACTGCTCCCCTCAGCAGTGTACTTTGTTCATCTGCCTGTTCTGCTCCCCACTCTGTCTCTGGTGAATCCTCTCACCCCTGCTCCTCTGGCCTGTACCCCAGTTCTGTATGCATAGATAAATAAATCCTTTAACAAATAATTGAGGTGTTTTGATCATTTAATGTGATTATTGATATATTTAAGTGTGAGTCTTTCATCTACTTCTTTTCTGTCTTTTCCTATTCCCTCTTTCTACTTTATTTTGGATTAGATTTTTTTTTATGCATACAGAAGTGGGGTACAGGCCAGAGGGGCAGGGGCAGTGAGAGATTCACCAGAGACAGAGTGGGGAGCAGAACAGGCAGACTGATGAAGTACACTGCTGCAGGGAGTAGCGGGCAGGTCAGGAGAGGTCTGCCCAGCCATGTGGTCACCTCCGGGGCGGGGATTGAACTCATGCTGAAGTAGCTTTAGCTTCTCAGTGCTGTGCTTTCACCCACTGCGCCACCAGGGAGGGCCCTATTTTGGATTAGATTTTTTTAAAGATTTATTAATTTATGCATACAAGAGCTGGTAGGCCAGAAGTATTTCTTCTCACCAGAGACAGAGTTGGGAGCAGAATAGATGGATCTGCTGAAGTACACTGCTGAGGGGAGCAGTGGGCGATACAGGAGAGGTCTGCTGTGCCATGTATGGGTCAGCAACCTGGACTGGGATTGAACTCAGGCCTTAGAAGTGATAGTGCTGATACTTAACACCTAGGCCACCAGGGTGGCTCCTGCATTTTTTGTATTACCTGAGAAGTATCTTTAGGAAAAATTCAAATACTGGATTCCATAACATCTTGGCTGATTAATTTCAATGTTTCATACATAGGATACATTTTATTTGGCAATGTGAATGCATTTAAAATTTTTTCTCGCATAGATTCCCCCCCACACACACACACACACATTTCTTGTTTGGTTCCCTTTTAGAAAAAATTATTTATTTATTTATACATACAAGAACCAGGGTATAGGCCAGAGGTTTGGGAGGTTGGGGGTAGTGACAGGATTCACCAGAGACAGAGTGGGGAGCAAAACCGGCTCCCCAGGGTATTTCAGGCAGATTGACTGAAATACACTGCTGAGGGGAGCAGCGGGTGAGAGAGGAGAGGTCTGCTGGGCCATTTGTGTCAGCTCCCTGGGCAGGGATCAAACTATTGCTGCATTGGCTGAGGATAGCTTCATAAAGCTGAGACTTAACCCTCTGAATCACCAGGGATATCCTTGCTGGCTCCTTCTTAAGGTATATAACCTTTATTGCTATTGTAAATGGGGTTTTCGTTACATTATATCCTCTAATTGCTTCTTAATTGTATTTATGAAACCATTGAATTCTTAATGATAATTTTGTATCCTTCCACTTTGCTGAATGTTTATTGTTAGTTTTGTCACTGACTCTCTAGGCTTTGCCACTTACAAAATCATATCACCTGGTCCTCCCTTGGTGGTGCAACGTGTTAGGACACAGCACTGCAAGCTGGCCACAGCCACTTCAGTGCAAATTCAATCCCTGCCCCAGAGGTGACCGTGGCATGGCAGACTGGAGTACAAGCCAGAGGTGCAGGAGTGGTGAGAGGATTCACCAAACACAGAGTGGGGAGCAGAACAGGCAGACTGACGAAGTACATTGCTG